AGGTTTCAGTGCCAGGGACCAGATGGCAAATTAGAGAAACTATAATTTTCCCTTCCTTCCTATCAGCTCTGACCCAAAATTATCAAATGAATTGATGCATGTGGAAGTACTTAATACAGTAGAAAGGCTAAATGCCCATACAATGGTCTTTCCATCCCCTTCCATCTACTAAAGTATAAACTCCCTAATCCATTTCTCTATTTCCTAGTACCTAGTGCAGTACTCTGCATAGTCAAAGTCAGCAACAGTGTTAGTTGGAGATGTGGTGATGAAAGTCCATGTGGTGGTGATATAAGTCCATGCCCTTGAGGATGTGCAGTCTTACAGGGAAGAGAGGCAGTAAAGAAATACAGTAACATGTCAAGCAGCCACTTGTCAAAGTCAGCAACAGTGTTAGTTGGAGATGTGGTGATGAAAGTCCATGTGGTGGTGATATAGTCCATGCCCTTGAGGGTGTGCAGTCTTACAGGGAAGAGAGGCAGTAAAGAAATACAGTAACATGTCAAGCAGCCACTTTGCATAACACTTCAGGGAGCATACCTGCATCATGTTATATAGATACTTACTCTACACAAGTCCAATGCTTAACATTTTTTTAAAAAATCAAAAAAGAAAAATAACTGCTGAAATATGAAGGTGATCATAATTCCATTCTGTGTGCATAAGCCCCAGAATGAGGGAGGTAAGAGACATGGATCTGCTACTCCCCCATGCTGACCTTAGAGCCACAATGCCACACTTGGCTTGCCTGCCACACTGATGGTGATTCTTGTATTTTAATGTACAGCAGTCCCCCCTTATCCACAGGAGATATGTCCCAAGACCTGCAATGGATGCCTGAAACTGCAGATAGTACCAAACACTATATATACTATGTTTTTGCCTATACATACATACCTATGTAAAGTTTAATTAATGAATTAGGCACAGTAAGAGATTAAGAACAATAACTAATAATAAAATTGAACAGTTATAACAACATACTATAATAATGTGAATGTCATCTCTCTCTTTCAAAATAACTCACTGTACTGTACTTACCCTTCCTCTTGTGATCTGTCGATCTGATAACCCAAACAACTACTAAGAGACTAATGGGCAAGTGGTGAACAAAGCATGGATATGCTGGACAAAGGAATGATTCGCATCCCGCGTGGGACAAAGCAGAACAGTGCGAAATTTCAGAACTGGTATGCAATTTAAGACTTTTAATTGTTTATTTCTGAAATTTCCCATTTAATATTTTGAGATTGCAGTCAACCTCAGGTAACTGAAACCATAGAAAGCAAAATCATGGTTAAGGAGGTTATCCCCTTTCCTGTACATATTTCTTTTCCAGCATGGTTTCTGAATAACAAATCAAACACTTCATCTAGCACTCAAAGGAAAAATTGACCATGAAGAATTGACTAGAGAAAAATTGACTGTGTTCAAATTGTTAGTCTCCAATGTGTTAATTTGCTAGGAGGTTTTTCAAAAATGAGTTTGAATATTAAGTACTTTCTTCCTACCACACTGACCTTAGCTTCTAAGATAAAACTCAGTAACTGCAACTCTAATGCTAACTGCCCTTTGATGGAGTTCAATCACTAGTATCATTTTTACTGCAATGATTAAAACATGGTCTCCTGAATCGGCCAGCTTGGATTCAAATCCTAATTCCAAGAAATTATTGGTCCTGTTACCTTGGGCAAGTTCCTTAATCTCTCTGTACTTTAGTTTCCTCATTTATAATTGGGGATAATAGTGCTTCGACCTCCTATTGTTGTCATTGGGATTATATGAGATCACATAAAATGCTTAGCACGAAGCCTAGTACTTAGTTGCTGCTCAATAAATGCTGGCTATCATATTAGATTCCATCTCATCCCAAAGTAGATTGAAGGCAATTTCACATGTAGCACATACTAGTAAATAAACTAAAGGATCATTATTATGCAATTTAGACTTACCTCTGGTAAACTAATTTCCAAGAACTGGCCTGAGTAAACGGTAATGACTACCATTTAATATGCTCCAATAATTCATAAGTTTGCTAATAAAATCCTCTTTTTCCTTTCTTTTTCCTTTCCCTTTTTTTTAACCCTAGAGGCAACACTTGATTCTGGGCAACTGTAGAAGAATGAGATTGAAAAGGTTCAAATCACTTTTGTGTGGTTAAAAAAAATAGTTATCCAAACCAAATATGAAAATTTTCAAGAAGCCCGAAATAAAAGTTCCTTTGATACAAGAACTACTCAATTTTACAAAGTCACCTTGTCTAAAGTGTCATTAAAGGTAAAACTGACAGGAAGACAATATGGTTAAAAACACAAACAACAAAATAAAGGAAACAGTATGCAGACAGATCTAGATTCAAACCTCTACTCTAGCATTTACTCCCTGGAAATTCCAGCAATTTAACCTCTCTGAGTTTAATAAGTAAAGTCAGGCTGGCTGGTTTGGTCACTTGGTTATAGCGCAATGTTAACACCAAGGTCAAAGGTTCAGATACCTGTATCAGCCAGTTGCCAAAAAAAAAAAGAGCAGGAAAGTTACTTATTTCCTTGGTGTCCTCAGCAATAAGATAGTGTTAACATTACCTAAATAAAATAATTGTTTTGAGGACAAAATGGAATAACATTAGGGAAGAATACAGTCCGTTAAAAGTTTCTTCCATGTCTATTTTTTGTTAAAATGCATGCTGCTTGCAAAAAGCAGGAGAGTGGCAAGGTCTCCAAAATGCTGTTAAACAGAAATTTTGCTGTAAATGAAAATGACTCCTTTGTCATTTCCACATGGAAAACTACCTATCCTGATTTTAGAGACTTCCAAGAAAAAACAAACATCTTTCTACAATTTATATTAAACTTCTGTCAAAAACTCCTTTGTATCTAACCTAAATTTCCTAAGCTTTAATTCATTTGAAAGCTTCTATATCCTTCAATCCTCCATGAGGGAGGGAAGCATATCTGTTTTACTCATTTCTGTATTTCTGTCCCTAGCAGAGTGGTAGGAGGTACTGTGCATGAGTGTACTCATTCATTCACTCAGCAAATATTTATTGAACTCTTACTTTGTGCCAGGTAACATGAATTAGTGGGCAAGACACATGAAAAATGAGAGAACCCTTTTCAAATAAATACAGAAATAAAAGTTCCAATTGTGATGATGCCACAAAAGACTCCAGAGTATGGTGAAGATATAATGGAACCAACTCTGGTTTTGGGAAGAAGTCAGAGAAGGTCAGAGAGAGCTCCCCTGAGGAAGGGCATTTAAAACTGAGACTAGAAAATTAACTAGGACTGACCAGATTTGGGAAGGGAGGGAAACAGTACAGGCAGGGAAACAACATGTACAAAGGCCCCCTCATCAGGAAGGAGCTTATGTATATAGTAACTGAAAGGCACAGTAAATAAGAAAGACCAGGGATAAGGAAGGAGAGATGTATAGGAGGCAGAAGATAAACTGTCAGCATTGAGCAGAATAAGGTGGTAATAGTATTTGAATATTTAAGTCACATTAAGTCTTTTTCTCATGTGAAATAAATAATCTAAGGGAACTAAACCTTTAATCTACAATATTAAAAATCAGCAGTCAGAAGACCTGGATTATGCATTAGTCCCTCCAGCTACTAGTTGCATGACTCTGGACAAGTCATTTAACCAAACTGAGCCTCTTCATTCTCTTTCTAAACAAGTACTCAGTTACTCTACCTACTGAGACTACAACGATAAATAACATACAGCTCCTGTTCCTACAGATTTTTCATCCTTAAGAGAAAGAGATGTATATGGAAGACATCCTAAATCCTATAAGGGGCGATGTCTACAAACTGAAAAGCCCCAACTGAGAACAAATGTGAACATCGTGAGCCACAAACTACTATAAAAATACAAGTGTACACATCACTCTGTGAATTCCTATCCAGTGTGCAGAGATCCCATGCATACTCCAGCATGTCACTGAAAGATGATAAATGCAACAGAAGTATTACTCTGCTATTCCAATATAGATGAAATATCAAAACTATAATGCGCCTCAGAAATAAAAAGAAGTTAGTGGTAGAACTGAACCAATGACAAAAACTAATACACATCGAATAAGTGCGTTATATTAATCTTACTTATTTCTAAATTTTCCTTTTAGGTTAAAACCTCTTTCTATAACCTCATAGCTGCACACCAAAAGTTAGAGGAACTTATTTCACAACTCCCCCAAGAAAAGACAAATGCCTACATCACCATCCAGAAAATATATTAACATTCTTGCTTTACCGTCACTGACTCATGTTCAGTTTATGGTCTATTTAAACTACCACACCCTTCTAATCTATCACAAAGCCAGTTATCCCCACATAATTTCAATTTGTTTAGTTGATTCTTCCTTGCCTGTGTACTTCATTACTCATGGGGCTACATGATTCCTGATTTTACTTCATCCTATAATATCATACCTCTCCTTCTACTTTAAGTCATATTAATTTCCAGACCATCTTAACTTCAGTGATGGGGAACATAAAATCTCTGATCATAGAAAGTGTTATTACATTCAAAAGTTAAACACATTATTGATAATATTAATAGCTGTAGGGTAAATTCAAAATTAGCAAATCGTGATGGTTAATTTATATAACAGCAAACCACGATTATTTGCTGACTATAAGTAGATACATTTACGGATATAAACTTATCACAACGAAATCCTGACATCAATGAACATAGTTCTACAATTCTACTAAATTATCTAATAACAGTATTAATGAGCTATAACTGGTCATAATAACAATTACATATGATAACACTGGAACAACTGCACTGCTTTCTGCTCAGTACAAAATGTGTCCTGTTTTTTATTTAGTGTAAAATAAGAAATGATTAAAACTCATAGATGATGAGAAGAAAAATAAAATATGCAAGAGCTTGATTTTATTACTCACACACACGCACACACATTCATCCTGGAGTCAAGAAAATGAGGGAAAAGTAAAAAAAAATCTCAAGCAAAGAACGTAATGTTACCTCGAAGAAATGCAACGTATCTTCTTTTCTAGTAATGAGCACACTAAACTCTCTCTCCTTGATGCTGCACTATTTGGGAAAAAAGTGTAAAATAAGTTTTGCGAACGAATTCCAATCTCATTGTTCTCAATTTTACAAAATAAGAGTAAAAATAGTACTAAGGAAGAGAAAGGAATAGTCTTTTAACTGTAAGGAGGAGATATATTGTTTAACTGACGTTGTCCTATCTCATTATCTAGCTTTAAAAATGGACCGTGGGAGCAGAGGTAATCATTTAATACACTTCTAATAAAAGGAAAAAATAGGTAAGTTGAAACTGATCCTTTCTTCTTATTTCTCCAGAAGGTTAGAGAAGGTCCTTCCTTTATTAGTGAATTTCACCCCAGTTCAAAAAAAAAAAAAATCTCTTTACCCCACAAATGACTTCCTAGAAATACATAAATACCATTACTTTGCAACTTCCTCCACCTCCTCAAAAAACACAACCAACCTTCCTACTCTTTCTTTTTCGGGCAGCAACTCTGGTACAGAAGCTGGACTCGAACTGGAGTATATTCAGAAGATCTTTCCCTACGTGTGTGACCTTGGGCACGTCATTTATTCCCTCAGTACCGTCATCAGTACCCCTACGTGAGAGCGCTTTGAAAACTGTCAAGGAGTAAACGTATCTTAAGGTATTACATCTAAGACGGTCAAGCCTTCCTGCTTAGTGCAAAAATACCTCCTCAGACGGACCACAACATAAAGCTGGAACTGAATCCATAGATCTGTCAACATTTGAGTCTTCCTTCTCCAGTGTTTCTCTTGCCTCAAAGGGCATAACCCTAGTCACCTCCAAGAGCAGACTCCCAAGCACCTCCCTCCTCCCTCCACTATCTTACTTATAAAGCAAAGGGAAAACGGCAGCCTCACCTCTCCGCCCAAAGCCACACCTTCAGAGGACCCCACCGCAGGCACATCCGCCCTCTCCCTCTCCGGGGCACTAGAGGCCAACCTCACCCTTCCCCTCCCGCCCCCACCTAGAGGAGACTTCCTGGAGGCGTTCAGGCCCGAGCCGGGCAGGCGGCATTTACAAACCCGCTTTACGCCACTCGCGTAGGGCAACCTCGCTTACGCCCATAGGGCCCCGCTCCCAGCCCCGTCCGTTCCGCCTGCCAGAACCAAGACCGAGTGCCTCAAACCACGGCCCCTGTGTGACCCCAGACCTCTTTTGCTCTGAGCGAAGCTACAGGGACTGGGACATAAGAGCCACACCTTACCGGCAACTGAGGCACTGACTTCACTTCCCACCTTTGGAGCCCTCTCCAACTCCCGGATCAATTCACTCCGGCGACGCCGGAAGGACCCGAGAGGAACCAGGCGTTGTCCGGAATCCTGCCCAGCCGGAGTCGCGCGGGGGCCTATGGGGACTTGTAGTCCCACTCGCCGGCGTGGTCCGCAATTCCTGCACTTGTAAGACTACACTACCCGAGAGGCCTTGCGGCGGAGCCTAAGGCGATGGGTGGGGACACTCCTAGCCAATAGCAGGAGAGTTCCCTGCCTTTTCGGGAGGAGGTTAAATGAACCGAGAGGATGCACGGAAAAGAGAGGAAGGGCGGGGCCGGCTCTCACCTGCGCCAATCAGGGTGCAGGCTCGGCCCCGCAGGCGCCTCACCCATTGAGGAGGCGGGCTAGCGAGGCAGAGGAAGAAAGGGGGTGGGGGCCCCGAAGCGGGGGACGCGGGGCAACTGGGCTGGGTACTCCGCGCTGGCGGACGGGAAGCCTCAGGGGGATCGCCGGGGAAGGGGGAGGGCGCGGTGTGAGAACGCGCCCCGGCCCGCGGTGCAGCCAAGCCCCAGGCACACAGGGCAACAAGACCCGGGGGATGGGGAGAGAAAGGCTGAGCCTGAGCTTCCTCTAGAGGCGCACGGCAGGGGGTCGGAGGCAGCTCTAGGTGTGAGGCCAAGGAGTGAGGCGAGAGGGCTCCCAGGGGAGGGAAAGCGGCAGAGCAGTTGCTAAAGTGCAGGGAGCGGAAGGTACGCGGGCAGCAGCTTCCCGCCGCCCCCAGCCCCGACTGCAGCAGGAACAGCAGGGGGAGGAGCAACAGCTGCCAAATTCGCCAACTAGAGGAGGGAGAGGCGGAGCTTGGGTCCCCTTAGAAGCCGAAGGCGCAGCCTGGACTGTAGTTTCCCGGGAGAGAGGAGAGCTGGAGCAGGAGCGGAGTGGAGCGCAGTCCTGCAAGCATCAGCTCCAACATCCAACCCGGGGTTGCAGGTGTGTGGGAGGTAAGCGTGGGTGTCTCTTCTGGCGTCCGCACTGCCCGGGAGAAAGCGTCTTCCAATAAGAATTACATCAAAGGACAGCTTGAAGAGTGTGCCATCGGTTAGGAAACCGGTGCAAAACCGTTCGGGTGAAAGATGCATATTTTTGGACTTCGAGGAGAAAAAAGGAAAAGGAAGCTTGACTCTGGGTATAAAGGGCGTGGTTAGGGTTTTGGGGTTGGAGTTGCACCATTAAAATTGTTCTGGGAGATCTCAAGATTGAGGAAAACTCTGCTAGTTGAGGAAAGGTGGATGATATCTGGAGAGGTGCGTAGCTGGTGAAAAGCAAAAATTTTATCATTAATATAGATATACTTTACAACTATTTCACTAGGAAAAATAACTTTGCGTTCTTCTTCAATGTCTACCCTTTACGTTGGTTTATCAGATTGTGCTGCTACCGACCTGTTATCCGAGGTGGTTGTATTGCAGTTTCCTAGAATTGCAAGAGCTCCAACTATTTCACTAGGAAAAATAACTTTGCGTTCTTCTTCAATGTCTACCCTTTACGTTGGTTTATCAGATTCTGCTGCTACCGACCTGTTATCCGAGGTGGTTGTATTGCAGTTTCCTAGAATTGCAAGAGCTCTCTCTCTATTGAAGAAGCAAAGGCAGGCAGGAATAGTCAGGATAGGAGGGGTTCTTACTGAACCTATCGGAAGTATAACTTTTGCCAGCAAGAATGTAAAAATGCGTTTTAATAGATGGGTACTTAGTTTTCCTTTCAGTGGCTCTGGAATATTGAAACAAAGACCTGGATTCAGCCTACAATGGGTACATATGGTCTACTTCCTTGCTATTCCTTATTCTCTCATTTGTGCCCGGTAATATTTGTACATTTTGAGAAACAAGAGTACAAGGAAAGCTGTGGGAGGATCCTTTTTCTGTTTAGAAAGTATGTGCTAAATGATTACCCTTAGTATGTGTTATGATACGTTCAGACTTAAAACACATGTAGGTCATAAATAATATTTTCTTCCCGGTATTAAACTATGTGCGTATTCCTTTGAATGTAACTATAATGCCAATGGAAATACGTTGTAATGCTAGGTAAAGATGAAAGTCGCACCTACCTTTGTGTAACTATGACAAAATTACAACCTTTTCGTTTTAGGAAAGTGGTAAGAAGCTATTTGCCTAGTTCATTTTCATTTTCTTCTTGTTACAGAGGTTCCCACTTTACATGGCTTTTAATCATAGTAGCATATTGCAGCACATTTTGCTCTGAAATTCCTTTACTGTGGCAGTTGTATATTTTAGTGTCTGCCTGGATAATTTAATCTAGATTTTTTTGAACCAGGGTCAATAAAATAGAGTAATTGCTTTCTATTTTCTTCTGTTTTCATGCTTTCCTGATTTACTTAGGATTTTGAATTTTATTTTTGTAATGCACACAAAATTCTTTTTTGAAAAGAAATAGCTCAGAGGAATTCTCTACGTAGCTTGAAGTTCAGTCCTACTGAGTGCTGCTACTGACAAGCCTAAGTGATTTATCATTGTATATACTCCTCTACCACACTCTCACACACCAAGTAAATGTATAGACAGACAAATCTTAGAAAAACAGCTGCTTTTACATTGTCCGCAAGTAGATCAGGTAAGTATTAGAAGTAGGAAAGAGCTTAGAAGAAAGAAAAAGCAACAGTAGCCACTAAACTTAGCAGCCATGGTAAGGGTCAGATGTTATCTTGGTTACAGCAGTGGAGAATCTCTTAATCCTATCTGCTGATAAGATCCTGTGAAAATGATATTTGGAGGAAAAAACTTGGTAGTAGGGTGTAGTGAGTCTTTCCCTTGTTATTTGTGATTCAGTGGATTGTCCTGAATCAGAGTCTTAGATTTTAGATTCTCTCCCAGGCTGCACTACTGATTCGTTTTGTGAAATTGAATACTTGCTGTCACTGGGTTATTTCCCCTATGTCATAATAATAATTAATTGTACTGGCAATAAAGTTCTTTCAGAGCTTTTATTAAAAAAAATCTTTTGGAGTTTTGTTGAAAATCTGTTAATAACCAGTCAAATGGATAGAAAATAAATATCATAACAGTTGAAATTCAAATGTACTTTGAATCTGAACTGTCTCTAGGTTTTCTGCTCTGAAGTACCACAAAGACCCGAATCCATTAGGAATGAATGAGTTTGTAGTATTAAAGTACTGAATTTTTCACCTCTTTCCCAGATTGGGATCCTTTTTAGTGTGTCAATGAAAGAGACTAGGATGCTGTATTATTTGAGAGTAAGAAGACCACATTTTCATGTGGGAGAAAATCATTGGCAATATATGGTACTTGGGCATTCATGTTACCTTAGACTCTACTCATTTTAATACATGTTCACATTCAATCTCAGATCATCTGAAGACTTCCTAATTGGTGTTGAGAAGGTTCATTATATGGCAGTTTATAATTGTATATAAAATACTATCTAGGTTAAAAGCATTATATTTATTCTGCTCTTGATTTTTACTATTTGTGTATGGCTATAAGTGAATATATAATATGATGAGAAAGAAAAGCAACGGAGTGCACAGTGTCTGTCTTGGATGGAAATTGCTCCAAGGATGACTATTTTTTAGCCAAAAGACTTGGTTAATTTCAAGTTACAATATATTTTGGACATTTCTTTAAATTAAAAATTTGGATTATGAGCCTATTGAATGAAAATAATAGAATAGCATGGATTTCTCTCTAACAGGAGGATTCACTGGTGCATGCAGTACAAAAGAGCAAGACTTAAAGGTTGAACATCAGATGGTTTTGGCGTGGAGGGGAAACGGGGATAGATATGAAGAAAGCTGCTTTAGAAACATACCCTTAGCAAGAGAGGAAAAAAAAAAAGTGGTAATTTTTATTAAATGCCTGTGACTCCATGGCCTTTTTTCCCCAATCATTAATTTCTAGAGGTCTATATCCACAGTGGGAGACTTGACTTTTTTTATTGTCATTTTAACTGGAGTCAGACTGGCATTAATTCAGTACATTTTGAATAATCATGGGTTATTAAAGCACAAAAGATCCTGCATGTGTACGTTCACTTCTAAGTGAAACTTTATTTGGGCAAAATATTAAGAAGTAAAAACCTAAAATGGTGTTTTCCTCTTTAATAACAGAGGCACTTGAACCAAACAATAAAGATGAGCAAGAGTTCCTTTAAAAATAATAATAATAAAAAATAAAATTTGCATACAGGATACAGATGCACAGATCTTGGGTATACAATCCTGTGAGTTTCAAACAATGTATATACCCATAGGCAAAACCCAAAACTTTGGGGATCAGGATTAACTTATCCATACATAAAGGTGTTGTTTTCTTTTGTCTTTTCAATCTTACCTGTAATATTTTCAGAATTTAGTCCTTAAAGTTTGGAGAGTGTGTTTTAAGTGACTAGATTAGTAGCTCCTAGAGAAGATATGCTTCTTTTCTATCTCTTGCTGTTCCTGAGCACAGCATGTCATGCTCAGCAGAAAGAAGTTGCCTATAACCATTTACTGAACTAGAACTATTGGCCAATATTTCTTTAATGTACACATTGAGATATTTTTCACTTTGATAGAAAAGATTCACAGAATGATTACCATACAATACATTAGTCCTTCTGAGAACGTCTTTGTGCTACTTAACCTTTGCAAAAGTGTCAGTTGAGCCCAATTTGATTCAAACTGTGTGAGCTGCAAAGACTCATCTACAAATTTGGATGCCAGCTTTTCTAAATTCATCCCAGAGACAGGCAATAGGGGTAAGGGGAAAGGACTCTCCCACCAATAGTACCCAAAGTCTACATTTGATAGCCAGGGAAGCCCATGGCTCACCACTATTTAACCTCAAGTCTCTGGAGACAGACCTTTGTTGAAGTTTATCTATAAAAACCACAGTTCCTTCTATAAAAACTGAATTTGCTCTTCCACTTATCTTATCATTTCTAGTCCCCTCCCACTCCTTACTCCCCACTCCCATAAAGAAGAAGCAAAGATGTTAGACTGATGTATTTCGGCACATGTATGGTTGGGCATTTATTGTTTTTGCTTTTGACCTTCCAGAAACAAA